CTAACCCTCATCAGTATATGAAACATTCAAAATGAGACAATAAAATCTAAAACCTTCATTAAATGGCCAATAATTGATTAATTGAGTTAACTTGCTGATGGCTGTGATATCAGAACATGAACCATACTGGGAATACTGGAGATGAAAGTAGCGAAGGGTGTAGCAGCCATATTCATCCAATATTTCAGCACTGAATCTTGAATCAGACTCAAAAAGCATTGAGAAATGCTTCATTTACATTCTGCAGGAGTATTTTGTTTCATAGAACCATAGCTATTAAATGAAACAGTGATTTGCCAAACTGCAGCAGACTTTCAAGAAGAATAATTAGTATTCTACAAAACACTTCAAAAATATGTATGTTGCTATTCACATTCAAACTAGAATGATGTTCAAGATCATACACTCAATAAATTCATGGTGTTTGCAACTAATATAGTATCTAAGAATCATATGCTGTACTGGACTTTAACACTGCAGGTTGACATTTGCATTCTGTATTAAATATTAAATTCTGTATTCTGACAGTAAACCTTCAGCTTCCCCTGCACTGTAAAAGTGTGAAATTACAGGCACGTATCTCAAGAAAAAGTTAACCATCTGCATTTGTTTTATACACTGGAGAGATTATGGGCTGTACCACCCAGGCATTTTGGGCATTATGACATTCTTTATCCTATGTCCAATAAACTGGGGAGAAGTGGGAATTGTCTTATGTACCCTCCTCTTCCCATGGTCTTTGTAAATGTCTAATATTAAAAGTCTGTTCCTCCAAAGTCATCATGCATAGGAGTGGAACTGAATTTAGGTAGAAATATGTGTTGGTATGATAATCCTACTATAGTTTTTACAGACAAAGAGGCATGTGTTACAAATGATCTCTCTTGCAGTTTTAAGTTTCATTCACTTAATTTGAACGTACAGTTCAATATGTGCTCTCCTGCATGTTGTAATAATGAGTTGTGTTGTGCCTGCAAAATAAGGGAGTGCTTAGCAGTTGGAAACCCTTACTAATATAAATTCAGAATAGCTGTAGCTAGACCAGATCCTGAGAGATGCAGTATTTCTAACTCCAGCCAAATCCAGGGCTCAAAAAATATGTGATTTGATCAATCTTCACAACCATTTTTAAAAAATACAGTCTGTGCCTCCCTCCCACACTCAGTCTTTTTTTAAGCCTATGTATCTTGCTGTAAACTTTTCTTTTCTGGCAGGATGAGTAGAAGTGAACCTTGAATCCACACACTATAATCTAGAACTTAACTTATGTTTGCAAAGCAAAAGAATTTGAAATGCTCCAACACTGTGGAAAGCTTCAATCAAACTAAAGCCAGTACACAGAATGTGTTTACATATAAGAAAACACCATAAGCTAATTGTACAGCCATTTTCTAGTAGTTCAAGATTTTGAAACTATCAGTGCATGTGAAAAATGTTGCTTATTTACAGATAGAAGTATTTTAAAAGACCATTTAATGAGCCCCAAACTCCAGCAACTCCAGCAATTCATAGGATAATTTTTCTGTGTTGGAATGCTTTACTTGGTTGATCAGAAATAAAACACTGATTCTTTGTCTTTAAAAAAAAGATATAAGACAATATTAAAAAATATATAACTTAAGAAAAAAAATAGTTTGTACTGGGAAAAAAAGCATGAACATAAATTGTTTCCAAAGGAAAATTCATGATGGTAATCTAGCTAGGACTTTTTTTTTTTTTTTTTTTTTTAATTATTGAATATACAGACTATTGTGATGACTTTACTGTCATAAGAGATAAATTCCATAAGTTTTGTGATCAAAGAATGATGCAGGACTGTCTTTACATGCATTTGGCAGGTAATTGAGGCTTAAGAACGTTCTTTAAAGAAAGAAATGTCATTTTTCATTCTTAAATATCATTAGAACACTTGGATCATATATTAATGTCACTAGATCTGCTAAAGAAAAATAACATTTATTATATTTTTGGAATTCTAAACATTTTTATTAAGTATGAAAAATAGGATCTTATGATTATTCAAAGAGTTACTGCCTCAAAGAGAAACTGCCTCACTATAAAAAAACAGCTATTGTCACCTTCTTAAAGTTACATTTTCAAGCTAGGTGTTCCTTTTTTATTTGTTTGTTAATGGACAATAGTGTTCTAACATCTAGTATTCTTCTATGATGAAGTAGTTTTCAAGCTTTTCATCTCAGCCAAATTTTTGATCTATCTTGCTCTTTTGAGCTTCTATCTTCAAAGCCTTGGAAGCCATACCATAAATTATCACATCTGTTCTAGACCAAATTGGTATTTAAAATATCTGGACATGTTCTCTATAACTTTTGTACTGGAGTAATTTATCTGCAGGGCTACAGAAGCTTCCAATTCAGAACACAGACACGACATTCACTGAAGAACTGACATTGGCGTAACTTAGCTTTGGATAAGTACCAAACAGAAATTAGAGTTGTCCTGTAAGAGCTGCATATTCTGTTCTCTTGGAAGCTGAGCAGTAAGTGGAAACAAGATAACTATAATTTTTATTTCTTTCACATTATGAACACAAATCAATCAGTTGTCATTCACACCACTGTTTTTCTAGGACTGTCTAGCCATGTAGGCACATCATTCGTGCCTCCTTACCTTGTCCAGAAATACTTTGGGAGCCTGACTTCAGTTACCACATGATTTCAAAACACCTGCTTCATCGGTACAGGGCATCTAGCTTGCAACTCTGCCTATATAAGAATTCAAGTTTGAACCAAGCAATAGAGTCACCCAAAGTCTCCATAAAACCCCCAGAAAATTGCAGAAAAATTAGTCACCTTTTGTCTATGACTAACACTATGACTAAATTTGGTATAATACTGGCAGGGATTCCAGCCCCACATATATAGTATATGTATATATATGTATATATATAGAATATGTGTAGAGTTGTAACAAGTGGAGCATCCATTATACGGGTTGGAAAAAACAAGTTTTCAGTATTGCTCTCTTCCAGAGACTAAGCCCACAAATCTCAAAACAGCATCCTAGATCTGAGATCACGAGTTGCTGAATGAAAGCAGTCAATGTCCCAGACCAGTCACTGAAGCTGAAATAGCTTTCATCCAGGCACATAACATGGTGGGGTGGATGCTGAGAAGGTAAGAGGGACATTCATTTTCGCATAGGAGTTAGAAAACTTTATGTACAAACTAAAATTTGAAGCCCTGAGATGTATATGTATTTCATTCTTGACTAGCACTGGCTGATAGCTACATAAACAATACTGCACCAGAAATGATATAAACAGACTGCTTCTCCTCTCCTCTCCTCTCCTCTCCTCTCCTCTCCTCTCCTCTCCTCTCCTCTCCTCTCCTCTCCTCT